TAATCAAACATAATGAGTTAATCAGACTCATTTTTTTTCTGAAGGCAAAATATAATCATGCTTCATCATCTTTTGTGTTGTCCTTGGACTCTGACAGACTTTCCAGGCAGAAATAAACTCTTCGTAAGTATTTGCACACCAAATAGCTCATCAAAGTGCTGGAAGATTTCTAGTCATTGTTGCAACATTAATAGGAAATAGTTGTATTAAAACCACTTTATAGGAGCTTTTTCTCTATATTAAGAAGTCAAATAGCAATAACAAATTGAAGGGGACACCAAGGATGACCCAGGAAGGAGATAATACTCTGCATCCCATTTTTGCAATCAAGAGACAAGCCACTCAGCTATTTAGCAAGACTGCTGCCAGTAAACCAGTATGCCTCCCAGATTCCTAAGAGCAAACAGCAAGAGCAAAGAATACATTCTCTGGTGACTTCTGCAGATTTAGCAATTCTGTATTTATTTCTTTCTCAAAAAAAAAAAGCAGCTGTTGCTGGATGTAATTTCTAGGTATTGTAATTAATTTATTTTTAATCCCATGTAGAAATAATTTACACTGTCTTGTTTGCTAGCTATTCAAGATATTGTGGTTACATTTTTGGTGTCTTTGGTACATTTTATTGTAACATTCTCAGGGTACTGCAGTCAATTACTACATCTCACGCTGTTTTACTTGCTACAAAGCATCATCCAAGCATTCTCTAGCAAGTCCTTGTGGGTAGCTATGTCCTGTTCAAGAAACACATGCATGTTCATGCATCGATACGTATGAGATCAGTGTCAATGTAGCCGTTTGGATTAATGCCTTTTTGGTTTGGTTTCTGTGGTCTCAAGCTTCTTAGTTCAAGCTGTGATACAGTTTAAAATAAAATAAAAATTAAAAAACTTTATTAAACCGAGTATATTTGGAATACAAAGGCTGATCTAATATCTGCCTATTGTGCCTCTGCAGTGTTGAAACTTGTCCCAGCTTTTCATTCCTCTCTCTCTTTTCCAGACCCCATTATCTCTCATTCAACCCTGCAGTTGTACCAGCCCCCTCTCTTGGCCATCCCAGTTCCCTTCATTGCTGCTGCTCCCGTCTGTGTGGAAAGTGGGAGGAACAGTCCCAGTGGGAAGCACAAACCCAACCAGCTATGCAGCAGCAAAGAAGAGCTGAAACAATGGCTTGTGGCCAGGACTTGGAAAGGGCAAAAGATAATAGCACCCATGGATTAAAGAAGGAAAATGGCTGGAAATACGGTTTGGTAGGTCTCAGCCTACTAGATCATTACAGGTGGTTGAGTATGAAGGAGAGCAAACACCAGCACTGATGGAGGGGACTGTATCCCAGACGCAAGAAGTGATAAAGACCGTGAAGTGAAATAACGAGGTTATAGGGCCATCATCCAGGAATCTCTGGAAAGGCTATGCCTTTCCATCAGAGCTACAATATGTGGGATTTTCCCTTTCAAGCTGCATCTCTATAGCTGAGTGAGAGTGTTCACATGGAGAGCTTGCCCTAACACAATGGAAGGTATAGCTAACAGGCAGAAAAATTAATCCACCATCGTGGCTAATCTGGCCTTTTTCATTTGTGACTCTATTCACTATATCATATTTATTTAGGGAGATGATAAATCCAGAACAAGTTCCCAGAGAGGCTACAATACAGAAGTTTTAGCTGTTCCTAGAAACAGCTCTCTAAATCGAGTTTTGAAAGAAAATCAGTGCCAGACAGTATACAGTACTGACCACCCTAAAAAATAACCTTGTCTAACATGCTCTGTATTCTGAGCAAATTTTTCCCTTGTGCAAATGCTATAGATATTTTCCGATTCTTTGTGAAATTCAGAAAACATTAACAGTTTGCATAAAGGGGAAACCAGGAGAGACAGCACAGAGCAGTGAAGACAGTGAAATCTCACCGATTTAGCACGTCAGTGCTTCTCATTCTCCGCTGATCCAAGGCAGTAAAGGGAATAAGAATAGAAAATAAATAATATTCCTCAGAAAGACATAAAACATAAGTCTTACTAAAATCCTCATTTGCCCCAGCAGTCCTTCCAGCAACTTGTATCAGCTTGCTTTGCTCATGTGAGTATTTTCATTAATTTGAACTGGAACTTTGCCTGACAAAGGAGCACTGGATCTTCCCTTTCTGGGCAGAAGCACTCTAACTACCAGCTGAAAGACATCAACACTCTAGATAAGCCATGAACTATTGTATCTGTTGATTTATTGCTGATTAAAGACTCCCAAGTTGCTCCGAGTCCAGAGAATTAACATAATTGAAAAACAAATAGGTTGCTGGCTGATGGGCTTTTCATCAGTTTTGGCGAGTCCTCCAGTTTCCACTATGTGTATCCGCAGAGGGTTGAATGCACAGCTCAGAGCTGTCACAACAGCAAAATTCTATCAATTTTCCTTTAAATTGCATATCCTTGTCCTTACTAAAGCTATTTCCTAATTGTAAACAGGACACTCGACTCACGATTTAATGTTACCAAGACATAAAATGTAGCCCTACTTTTGACACCTTATAAATTCTACTCATGCAACAGATTATTTATGAAAGAAAAGCACAGGCCTGTTCTTCTAGCAAACGGCTTGCAAAACTTCAGTACAAAATCCCATAATCTAAACAAATCAAGTACTAACCTAATAAGAAGGTACTTGAAAAAAAATATGAAAATATCATGTCTTAACTGGTTGAGATGTGTGACACCGCTGCTAAAAAATGCAGTGGCTTACCAATCCTGCAACTGGAAGTATCACCAAAGATAAAGTACTATCACAAAAGCTACTTCTTTTTTTCTATTTCTCTCTTTTCTCTATCATCTCCCTTCTGTTTTATTCTCTTTTCTCCCTTCCCTTCCATCCCATCCCTTCACTTCTGTTGCTTTTTCTTCTTTGTATTGCAAGTCACTGTTAATTTTGTTGCTTCAGGCAGATGGCCGAAAGTAGCATCTACAATTACTGGTAGCAAATATGAACTATTTTCATGGACTACATCTGTGCAGGAGCCAGGGACAGGGTCTCAGGGAGAGGGTGAAATCAGCACCAACAGCCCTTAACTGGAGGTCAGGCTTTGCTTCCCTGGGAGCCAAAATCACTGACTCTCCAGGGGTCTTTGCTTGTGCTACAAACAGGACCCCTTACCATGCATGCCATCTCTTCTACCACTACAGATACTTACAGCGTTATCTCTGATTTGAAGCGTACTTTGCGAGTTCTTGCCAGTAACTGCAAGTCCTCAGCAAGCTATCCAGGTTGGCAAGTAAGGGGCAAATCCTGCAAAAGCAACTGGTGGACAGTGCAACTGTTTCCCAGGAACTGGGTGACTTACAATCAATCATTCTCAACTTGTGTTGAATATACATTGAAGTGCTAAGGATGTTGTATAAAGTGAAAGGTAGCAAGATTTTCCAAAGGACAAAAACTATATATCATGTTTGAGTCTGTACAGCGCAGCCCCACAAGTACCCACATGGAAACTGATGAGACTGAAGCAACGCTCAGCTGGAAAATGGGTCCTATGTATTGGCTTTTTATGAATATACAGAAAACCAAAGAAAGCACAAGGAGAACATATAAGAAAGCGTATCATGCTCCTGTATTTCCTCAAGGTGATTTAACATAGTAATTATTACAATGTGCACTAGGAAAAAGCACAGTACTTTAGTAATATGAAACTTCAACACAGCATCTGTTACCAGACTTTGCTCAGAGGTAAGGAGAGGTGATCAAATTCTAGGTAAATTATAGAACAATTGAGTGGTTAGGGAAAGAAAGCTTGGAGGAGTTTAAAACCAAATTTCTCACACGCAAAACCCTAAACTGCCACCACTGTTATTACGCCTGCACACAAAACCAACTGATAACATTCAATTATTAGGAAGCTGATGTGAAACACTTTCAGTGGATTTCTTGAACTTGCAGTTTCTCCATTGTTTTAAGAGAAATGCAGGCAATATACAGATCCCTCAGGCACTGAGTATTTTGCCGTTTTAGTGCTGAATGTTGGCAGCTCCCTTGCTGCTACACTGTTTGTTGCTTATGAAAAGCAGCTATATTTAGAGGTATTAGTAATACCAAGCAGTATAAAAAAAATCTATGTTTTCTGAAGAAACCTACCTCCATCAACACTACAATGCACAACATTCCTACCATCCCCATTGAGACCTGACATGGTAGTAGAATACTGATGGCTTAGAATACTACTTTGTAGCTTACCACTGAGATAGCTGCATGAAGATAATTTTCTACCAGACTTCCAAGATTCCAAGCAGGGTAGAGAGGAAAGAAGACTGCATAAGTAAGCCAGACTGCATAAGTAAGCCAGGGTCTTTTTTTCATGCAGTTTTTCTTCCTTACACACTTTGTATTTAGGGCTATTACTGCCTACTTATCTCAGCTGGACATAACCAAACAAAACTTCCACAACCATTGAAGCGCATACTGGACAAGTAACCTAGAATTTATTTACTGTCATATTAAGCAAATGAATGTGGCATAAACTATTCCACTGGGACAGCATGGATTTTTATTCCCATCATGAAGAAAGGTAACAGAGATCAACTTGCCAGGTGTGATTTTTAAAACCAAGTTTGTTTCACCACTGTAAACACAGTTGTCACTTCATGCTCAAATATTCACCAACTGTTTAAATTCAATTAATTTACTGCCTGAGAGTTACAAGAAATTTTTTTCCTTTACTTCTAACAATGCTTTGAAGAAGTCAAACAAAGAATTGCTGAAGATGGTAATTTTTTTAGATTACTCTTTCTTCCATCAATTATGAACCCTATAGAGAAGATGCAAAGGTTTAAAACATCCCAACTCCCACTCGCAGTGTTCGTAACACCAACTGTGAGATGTTATTGTCTCAGAGAATCCTGAATAACGTTAATTAACTGATTTAACACAGGAAAGCTTTAAAAACAATGTGAGGGAAGGCTGGCAATTATTTGCATATAGCACGCAGACAGACACTTGAGCAATGAAGAGATGTCCTACCTCTCCTTGCCGGTGATAGTGCTTGGGAGGTTTTCCCATCTGCTCTAGGATTTTGCCCTTCTTACTGCTAGCAAGTATCAGTCCCTGGTGGATGCCTGCAGATCTGTTGGTTGTCTGAGTTGGAGCCTCCCCCATCAGGGTGGACTTGATGGAGTTCACCTTGGAGCTGGAGCTGTCTAGCTGGGAGCTCTCCACGATCAGGACCGCGGCTAGTAAGAGGAGACAGCAGGAGCACTTATTCCACATCAGCACGATCATCTCCCCTCCCCCCAAAAGGATTATCTTTTCTTTTTTTTCTCTTTTTTTTTTTTTTTTAAGGCAAAGAAAGCAAAAGAGAGAAGAAAAAAAAGTTTTTTAAAATATCTCCCAAAGTTGTTAACAAATCAATGGATTTCAATGCCACACACTCAAGGAACTGCTGCTCGGAGAGACACAGGAGAAAAATAATTAAAAAAAGAATCCCCTAGAAGAAAAAACAAAAACCACCAAAACACACAAAAAACCACAAAAACACAACTGTCAAGTCTATAGTCACTGAGCAACTCTGATCTGTGAAGTGATGCTTTTTCCTCCAGGTCCTCGAGAAGTCCAGGCAGTTCTTTAGGAACTGAGAGCAATAAGCCAGGAGGCAACTGCACCCAGGGCAGCTCCCCACCAGTGCAGGCACCAGCACGTTTGCTTGAGCTTCAGAGGAAGAGTGAGCGAGTTACTTCCCCCCACTCCTCCTCTCTTGCTGCACAAGCCAGCAGAGAGGAAACTCAAACCAGATCCAATCCAAGCAGCACCGGCAAAAGCTGGGCTTAGTTTTCTTTCACTCTCTCTCTCCCCCCTCTTTAATTTTTATTCCCCTCCTCCTTTTTTCTGTCTTTTGCCTCAGCCTCCGGAGCCAGCAGGAGTGAAAGCGCCCGATCTCCTCCTCCTTCTCCTCCTCCTCCTCCAGCCCGGCCGGTGCAGTGCGAGGGACTCAGGGCACCGTGCGGCGCGGCTGGGGCAGAGGAGCAGACCGTCGCGCCGCTCCCCCTCGGCTGGGTGCTCCGGCAGCCTCTCGCTGCCCCCTTGTTGTTACAGCTGCAAGCAGCGGGTGCTCCTTCCTCCTTCCCCACCCCGAGGGGGGACACGCCGCACAGCCACTGTCACCCCCTCCGTGTCCGTGTGTCTCCATAGTGCCCACCTCTCCGGATGCCGCTGTCCCCCCAGCCTGGTGGGTCCCCCTCTCTCCGGATGGGGTGTGCCCGGGTCCCACGGCCGCGGACATGCGTGTCGCTCTGTGGGCGCGACATCCCCGCTGTCCGATCCCGAGGCTAAGGCTCGCCGAAGGTGATGGGTGCCGGATTTCCGCACGGGGTCCCCAAGTGGCACTGCCAAACTGAAGCGTGTGTTGGGGTGCTCCCCGAAACTCTAGGAAAACTGGTTCTGAACGTCAGTCCTGCAGGGCCGTGAAAGCAAGGGGCTGGCACAAGAGGGCTGCCAAATCTTACAGCAGAGCCTGCACAGTCCACTGCCCAGGTAAAAGGCATGTCCAGCCACTAATGCTGTGCTACAGGACTCTTAAAGGTGACACTTCTCCGAGCCACGGTGCCACTAGCAGCACCAAATAACTATTTTGTTCGCTATTTTGCATTTACCTTCTCAATTTCCCTGGCACAAGCACAAATCTAATTGCTGTGAAGCACCCAGGTGCTACTAACCCACAAGCTCAGAGGCACTGCTGCAACACCAAAACACAGTGTTTTCGAAGAAGGAAGGCAACCAGGACACAGGGTGCAAAATTAGCACAACTGGGGCAAACCCAGCTCTTAAATTGTCCCTGTTACCAACAACAGATCTAGTGCAGAGAACATCGCCATGGGGCACTTGTGTACTGCAGTGGAGCAGCTACCAGCCCTTGTTTTTCCCCTGGACATGTGAAAGTGGGTGGAAGGAACAAAAGATGATGAGCGAAGCAGTCCTCTTGCTGTCCCATATGTTCATGTATGAACACTATCTTGCCTGGGAGCAGTACGGAGAATTTTCATGCCTTCCCCTTTTCCTGCGGGGTCCCTCCTCTAAGCTGTCATAACCTTCCAGCTACTCTGCCTCTTCACATAGCACAAGAGGTGAAGAAGAAAATGAGCTTTTAACTTAACAGCTATGCAAAAGGAAGTTGCTAAAGCAAGAAATACCAGCGAGGAACCGGGCACTCTTTTGTCTCGCAGTGAGCACGCAGGGCCTTAATAGGTCTCTGCAGGGAAGACTCCATGGACCACCCCACCTTAGGTAAGTTTTTTCACATGCTATCTATTGCAGTGTGACTGCTAGCAATCTCTACTAATGTCAGGGCTTGTATTGTATTACACAGAGCATCTTGTAAAGAGTAGATTAATTTACATGTTTTTCCACAGCTCAAACCTCAGAACTGTTTGGGAGGATTTAATCCCATCTCACAGGGCTTTTTTGAAAAAAGAAAAATCTTATCTCATCATGTCTTAGGGGATTACTACTGAGTTTTATGGGGGTTTTAAGTAGCAACAGAAATGGCACATCAGCCCTCAAGACTGGATTTTAAACTGTTCTGCTGAGCTCTCGCTCAGGCTTCGTATAAGCTCACATTTACTGGATTGAAGCTGGAAGCAATTTTATCAGCACTTGATCTCAGAAAATTAGATTCAAAATTCAAATTTCACTTTTTTCTGTATTCAGCTTTGCAAGGAGTAAGGAATGAAAAAGGCTGCCTTCTTCATGGGATTTTCTTTTTTTCTATCTTCACACAGCCTTAAATAAACTAAAATTCCATTTCTGTCTTCATCCCCGATAACTCCTGAGGACATTTCTAAGAAAATATTTCTGAAAGATCAGAAAGCAATTTGCAACTTCACAAGGAAGTGATAAAAGCCAGTCCTTTTTGATTGCTTTTGACCTGACTTTTGACACCCAACCCTCCTGGTGTTTCACCCCTACCAAACCCAAAAGCAAACAGCTATCAGGGCCACAGGAAAAGCTTTGACAGATAATTTCATAGAAAATTGGCAGACAGCCATATAAACACCACACACACACAAAAATCACAGCCTCAGAGAAACCCGCGGACCCTTCAGACATACACAGGCAGTGTATATACATGTGAATAGGCAGCCTCATACACTAATGCAGGAGGGCTGATGCCCCCCCACCCACTGGCGTAGGATCAAACTGAGATGGTGAAACGCAAACCAGTAACAGCTCCCTGATTTCTAATAACAAGTCAATCCTGTATTTCCTCTTCTGATTACCATGGACTGCACCAGTCACATTTTGTATTCTTGCTGGGGATAAATACACTTAAATACACAGAACGCTTGAGTTACAGTTCACATCTCTCCTCCTAGTATTCTCTATATATACCATCACAGAGCCTTGGATGGTACTAAATTTGTAAAAATATCAAGACAGCAGGTTTTGCAATATTACCACAGAAATTGGACAAGAAAAATGTTATTTTCTCATCCCTAAGATAAAATTATATATGGATCGGGACTATTGATCAAAGTATATGGGAGGTTGTGCTAATTCACACTTGAGACTCAGAATTAATGGTATATTTAACTGGGCTTTGAATCTAATATCTTTGGTGACAGCAATTAGCAACCTCCCTCAAATGATAACTTACTTTTTATGTTCTCTTACCCAGGAAGGAACAGAAACGTACAAGTCAGTGGTGGAGTGTTCTTCACCACAGTTGCTTTGAATAAGGGAAGATTACAAAGAGGACAAAATAAACTGATGAGGCATGCAAACAGAACCCATGACAATGAAAGCACAATACGATGACCTCATGGGAGTACCATTCAACTCTTCTTGAAATAAATGTGAAATAAAAGGACATATGTGGTATTAAAGAGAGGCACACAGCACCTAAAGGATCAGACAGTAAGTAGACTGTCTAAATTAATCATATATTTATTCATATCTTATTAAAATTATTGTTTTCATTAAGTAAACAAGAAAACCACATTCCAGGTCTGTAGATGTAAATAGATAGTTCCTGTGCATTCGTAGCTTCTAGAAATTTGCAGAAAACTAGGGAGGAATGCTCAAAGCTTTTCAGATACTTAAGAACAGGTGCCCAAACTCTTCTTTTTTTCCAAATCAGTCCAGATTCAGCTAAGTATCAAGTTCATCAGTCAGCCAGATTCAACTAAGTTTCTCTACATTAATTTAAATTTAGTGGGAATGGAAATGGGTATCTCTCCAACAGGGCAAGACCTATCTTGTAACTCACTGCTCTGAAGGGAAGATAGTTTGCAGCATCTGTGAGGAAACAGAAGCAGGTTTTGCTTTGCTACCCTGACAGATGGTTCCCTCCAGAGGAATCAACAACCACTTCACTGCAGGGCAGCTGCTGCCAGACCAGCACGCTGCTCGAGACCAAAGAAATCTGTAGATGGACAGAACACTAAATCTGTGTTAGGGCGGAACTTTTTTCTTTAACAACATCATGATATACAGATATACTTGTAGGGAAACGAGCTATTTGGTATTTTTGTTGTCCCCACTCCCCTCCTCCCCCTTTGTTTTCCCCTTTTAACTAGTATTCAGCCCATACCTTGAGTACTTCAAAGTTGTCAAATACACTTAGAAACCTAGGTGTGGATTTCCTATGCTTTCCATTGCAGCAACTCTGATGTCCTTTGAAGACACAGATTTACTTCACAATGCCTATGTAAGTAAGATGGTATCCAGGCAAAAATACCAAGAAGCATCCTCCCATTGCAGATTTATGACTGTACCACTGCAACTTTAGATTTTGAGACACTCCAAGAACCTCGAAAACACTTAAGAGCCGTGGTGGATCTACCAGAGGAACCAGCTACAAAACTCAGCGGCTGTTACTTGCATGAAGTGCACTAAGCAGAGGCTGTTACACTGCTGAAGATCAGGCAGAAAAAGACCTTACTCCTAAGTTCACCACTAGTTTTGGGTGCCTAGTTTGGAGAAGCCAAGTCCCACATACTTTGTGTGCGTGTGGTTAGTCAAACATTTCAGAGCAATGCTGTCTTTTGCCCAACATGGCATTTTGCAGCTAACCATACAGAATAACAGAGGAAGCATTACCCCACAAATCACAGTCAGTGGCAAATGCTACTTAACACATGGGATGGCCTCTGGAAACCTCTTGTCAAGTACCATATTGTAGAGACTGAGCCTGCTCCTGACCATCGCGTACGTAACCACAAATCTGTCTGGGATCTTCCAGAGGTGGCACTTATGCCCTAACTATGGAGGCAGATTGTTTGACGACCGCATGCTCAGCTTTAACTGCTAATTCATCCTGCAGATTTCCACTAGGCAGAAGGAGAGGCTATGCTTTGTGCAACCCAGCCACGGAAGCTCACCAGTCAAGAAGGCAAATGTTCATTAAATACCAGTGAGACCTCCAGCTGCAAACATGGAAAACTACAGCAGTGAACCACTAGTACTCAGTTCACAATGTTAAATATATATATTTCCATCAGAAATATGCATTTGTATCTCTTTTGGGCTGAATCATCATGCTTTCTGTAACAAAAAATAGGTTTTTCTTTTGTATTATTTGCACCCATAGAGAGGGGACGCGCCACAGACTAAAACTTGTACTTGTGTTTCTAAATCAGGCATTCAAACCCTGAATAAATGTTCAAATGTTTAAATTTTCCAAACACATTTTTGTCTTGTATAAATGCTTTGGTGTTTCTTCTAATTACACTTGTTTATAAATTAAGTAGAAAAACTGAGTGGCCTTAAACAAGCAATGGTTTGGTAGAGTTTTTCCAGTTTCACTACATATGCTTCCCAAAATAAGAAGACGCTACTGTCTGAACTCCCTTAGGGATTTTAGGGGGGCAGAAAAGACCTGGAAGAGTAAACTTTTTTCCTCTTGCCTTTTTTTCCCCTTTCATCTCTGAGACTTTTTAAAAGAGGAAATGTTTGAAAAAGGCATGAAATAAAGGAACACAATGAAACCAGTGAGATCCTTTACCTGACTTCCATCAAAAGACCAAAATTACACACTGTAAATACAAAATATTATGGGCCAAACTGTAATCCTATGTGCTTTACAGCATTTATATTTTAAGCCACTTGACTTCAGTTGAACCATCTTTTATGTACACCAGCTTTAGTTCAGTCTAACATCCTATGTT